GTTTTACCTAAAAATTAAGAGCGATCTTCAACCTTGTAATAACTGCTATAATCCACTAGATGTCAATGCAACATAGCAACCTATTTGGGGATAGTTAAGCCTCAAGACCCAGAAGAATAACAGTAATTTCTATTTATTTGTTACTTATTTTTATTAAATGTTAAATATAAAATGCTCTGTTTCAAAAAAAAAACTTAATAAATAAACCTGTTCTACTTCAAAGGATATAAACATTACTTGAGATAAGATTCCTCAACTTCCCGTTGTTTAGTTTAAAAATTTATTTCCTCTTGTAAAACCAATGCTTACAGACTCTCCTATTAGATAAGAAAGAGTGGCATAAAGTTCTGAAAATAAAATATTTGGTCACTAAATAACCTTTTGAAGTTTGGTCCGTTGAGGAGAGAGAAACAAAATGGTCTTGGTAAAATAGTATGAGGTTTAGAGTTAAATTTTATGTTAAATGTGAAATTATTTATTAAATTATTAATGTAGCAATCTGTTTCTTGTCAGATTTTTAAATCTTTTAAGATAAATTAAGAATTATTTTACAATAAAGATAAACATATTATTTTCCCTCCTTGAAAAACGGGTGATAATAAAATAATTTTTTTAACATAGAGTGATGTCACTCTTAAATCAGAACCTTGGTAAAGTGCAGTTTATTTTTTCATTTAGACTTCAAGAGTAACAGGGTGAAGAAATAATTGGTGTTGCAATGTTGTTTAGTTGTTTAAAATTCTAGCTATCGTTGAGTATCATTACAAATGATATACAACATGTTTAAATTTCAAGCAAATACACACACGCACACATTTATGCAGTCAAGAAGTGCAGTTTTTCCTAACCAGGAATTGTGAAAACTAAGAAAAACACAACATTAGAAGGATTAATACTAGTTATTTCTCAGTCCCTAAACCAGCAAAGGTCAGTGATCAGGGATGAAATAGAAGGTGAGGTAAACAAATTGAGGTAACTGTTAATAATTCAAATAAAAGATTAATTTTGCTACAATTGCTTGAACTATGAGTTTTTGCTGTACACTTACCTCTAAACTGCTAATTTGAAAGTCTGTAGTTTAAAATTATTTATTCTCATTAAGGGCAGAGCAGTAATCTATACTCAGTCAGGTCACTTTCTATCTGCTTCAACAAATTTAAATCTATACACCTACTCCTCATTTATCAACAGAGATAAGTTCCAAAGACAAGACTGTCATGCAAAAATGGGCGTTATGAGAAAATGGAGGATAACTACATCATTACATAACTGCCAAATTACATTATTACATAACTGCCAGATTACATCATTACATAACTGGCAAACCACTGAGAATCATGGCCCAGCCGAGTTGACACAAAACCTTTACCATCACAGGCAGCATTACTTTCGCCTCACACCTCATGTTCGTTACTGCCAGATGTATTTGTTAACGCGCAAAATAGTTGGATATTAGATTTTTGACTATTGTTGCAAATGAGAAATGTCAGATAACAAGATAGCCAGTAAGTGAGGATGAGGTATATTTTATATTCTTTTCTTTATGAAATCATTATTAAATGTTCCTAATTAACAAATGACATGCTCTACTGTAGAATTACACCACTACTTGAATAACGTATAGACTCAGTGCTTACCTAGCAACTATGTGCAGTAAGCTTCATCCTTCCTGATAAATGACATAATACATAACACTCACCTAGAAATTTTGCATAATTTTCTTGCTGTTACCTTCTATGGGGTTTCTAGGAGCTCACTGGAAGATTTAGAGGCCTAGGCTTTTCCTTAAAACCATGTGATACCTCTCTCTTTATAGTTTATTTGATTTCATCTTAGATATTTAGAGTCCTTTATTTGTAAGGATGGTTACCTCTTGTCAAAATTATTTCTACTCAATTAATTATTTACTTTAAAATTTTATGTCTTTGTGCTTGTTTGTTTGCTTTTCAATGTACCGAAGTTTTCATCTTATTACGTCATAGATACACTTTCAACTGACTAATGGGTGTATGATATTGACAGTCTTCGGCCCTAATACAGGAAGGAATCATAATGTGCCTTAGTGATTTCCTTCCACAGAGAATTCTTCCTCTTGCAAATGGTTTACAAGGGGTTTTGAGCGTTGTGAGCCTTGACATTTGCTGACCTGGACAGAGTAGCTGAGCAGGGCATTATCACTTTCCAGGGCCAGATGTTTGGATCTCTGCAGAGCAGCCACCCAGGAGGGCCTGATGCACAGCCAAGTGGTGGCCTTTAATTCTATGTACTATGACGGTAGTATTTATATTGATACCCTCTTTGTTTGCAAAGATTATGCAGTATCAAAAAATAAAGAAAAATAAATGAACAGTGGGGAGGAAGATGGTAAAGAATGGAACATTACATTACTATTAAGCTTTATGAAAAGTAATGGCCATCCATTAGGCACTCTTAACTACCCAATTACTTTATAACAGAAAACTAATGTAAATGCATGTGTGAATGGTATTTAAATCTGATTGATTGTAACTGTTTATTGCTATACATATATGTATATATATATATTTAATCTAACTATATCACCCTGTTAACCCAAGATTTTCAGTGTATAAAGTTGTCCTGTCTTTAGAGAATTTTAAAGAAATTTTAAAGAGGGATTCAAGATATTTAGAAAATCTAAAGAAAATAAAAATTAGACTTAAGTCTACAATATTTTGGTTTACTTCCATTTACTTTGTGTTTATTTATTTAAAAAATTATATGAATATAAGTTAGAACACTGAACTTTCATTTAACATTGTATAATAAAAAATTCCTAAGTCATTAAATATACTCTGGAAGCATGATTATAATGGCTTCATAATATTTTATAAAATTGATGTATTAGAAACCATACTTTATTTAATTGCCTACCATTGGATATTTTTATTATTGCTAATGTTTCACTGTTGTAAGTAACACAACAATGAACATCCAATGAACATCTTTGCATATAAATCTGTGAAAGTATCTCTGGTGATATTCTTGGAAGTATGTTGAGTGATTTAAGGACTATGAACATTTGTGAGATAATTGTCAATCTGCTTTCTTAATATTAATATCTATTTACACTCTTACAGATAATGTATGAGTGCTCATTTTAGTAAGCATTGAAAATTAACATTTAAAAAATATATTTTGTCAATTTTACACCTTATTAATGGTATTTTATTGTGGCTTTATTACGTGCCTCTCTATTAGTGAGTTTAACCATGTTTTTATGTATTTGTTGATAATTACAATTTATTAAGAATTGTTGTTCATATTCTTTATTTATTAGACTATTAGTTATTTTTAGAGCCCTTTGTCATATATTAAAAATAGTTACATCTTGTCAAAATTATTTCTACCCAATTAATTATTTACTTGAAAATTGTGTTTCTGGCTTTGTTTTTGTTTGTTTTTCAATCTACAGAGGTTTTAATCTTATTACACCATCTTTTCCTCTGTGATCACTTCAATTGCCTTTATCTTAGAAAATCTTTTATTCTACCCTCATATCAGTTAAAGAGCCACCTCTGTTTTCATTTAGTATTTTAAAGTTTCGTTGTTGACACTAACCTCTTTAATAAAATCCATTATTATGGGTTTAAGATGAACGTTTCTCTTAATGATTTTTCAAATACATCATTTTCTAAAAGCATTTGGTGAATAAATAATCCATCTCTTGCATTTGTTTATGATATTTCCTTTATAATACACCAATTTCTTACATAGTAGGATTTTTCTATACCGTTTATACTGTAATGTTTTAATGCTTTCAAACTCATTACTGTTTTCTTTCTTTTTGATTCAAGTATTACTGGAATATTCTCACTTATTAATCCTTCCAGAATCGTTTTAGGAAGTGTCTTCCATCTCAGATAAAATCTGATTGCCGTTATTATGATTTGGCTTTTATTAGCAAGTAAGAATTAACTTAGGAGGCAATACAGTAATGCATTGTCCTATCCAGGAATATGAAATTCTGCTCACTTTTTTCAGCTTACCTTTAATTATTTCTCTGTGAAAATTTTATAGTTTTCTGTAAATTGTTCTCACTCATATATTGCAGGGATACCAATCAAAACCAAACCCACTGCCATCAAGTCAATTCTGACTCATAGCAACCCTATAGGACAGAGTAGAACTGCCCCATAGGGTTTCCAAGGAGCAGCTGATGGATTTGAAATGCTGACCTTTTGGTTAGCAGCCAAACACTTAACCACTGTGCCACCAGGGCCCCACTGTAGGGGTGGCATGACAGTATTCTATGTTGCACTATGGGCTATTGATCTTTGTATGTTTATTTTGTATTCATTCACTTCACTGACCTCTAAGCATTTTTATTTTATTTTTTTAGATGGTCTGAGTATATAATCATATTATACGCAAGTAATGATGATTGCTTACATAGATTATTAAGGCTTATGAAAGTAGGCTTTAAGAAATAATAAAAACATGATTTAAATCTCTTCACTAAAAACGTAATACTTGTTTTTCATTTGTGGATTCAATTTTTTTTTTTTGACTTTAACAAAGAGAAATTTATTCTCTCACAGTCTAGTAGGCTACAAGTCCAAATTCAGGGCATCAGCTCCAGGGGAAGGCTTTCTCTGTGGGCTCTGGAGGAAGGTCCTTGTATTCCCTTGGATTCACATTTTAAAGTCAAAACTAAGAGTCCATAAAATTATTTTATTGTTGTGTAATATTTTTCACTTGATTATCATTAGAATAGATTAAGAAATCTGGAATTTTCTAGGAGCAAAATGTGACTACAAGTTTTTTAAAAAAATGTCATAAGGGACTTGGGCAGACATGGCTGTGACAGTATGCTTGTTCATTTTTCCATTCTTGCCTATTCTGTGATATTCTTTGGACTCGGGCAGACATGGCTGTGGCAGCATGCTTGTCTGCTTCCCACTTTTGTCCTGTTAAATATATGCCAAATAAAACTTTCTTTTTACTTTACTAAACTTTGTGATGTTTTTCCCCTACAACAGTTAATGGCGCTGTAAGCAGGATCTGAAGCTACAAATCCAGTCAACTGCAAAGAGACCTGGACTGCAGAACAGAAGCCGTCAAAGAGAGAGAAGGTCCTATCTTCTGGACCCACGTGTTCCCACTCCATGTCCCTTCGACATTGACGGGGTGAGTGCTCTCAGAAAACGAGCATTTGCTTATTTTTTGTTGTTCTCTTTCTCATGTTTTCTTAAGTTTTGTTTGGCATATTTGTTTATAAAACCAGTTAATTGATTAAGGAGAATCTTTCTTAGATTTTTGCTTGATGGTTTGGGTATGAGCGACGTTTAGTAACTCTTTAAGTGAACTGCAGTTTAGGCCTGGATTCAGGCGTTTCAAGAGGTAATTCTGTTTTCAAAGAGCTCTGAGCCACTATAAGCCACAAAAAAATTCGGGCACGGGTCGACCAGTAAAAGCCATAGGGCGGTCGCCGGCGCTCATTACAAGCGTTGAAGTCTCCCGTGACAGGATAAGGTGGTCACGAGACAGGCTAGAGCACTAGGCTGCCTGCCACCCACAAGAAAAATCTCGTGCAACGAAGGTACATACTGGTCTAAGCAAAACACTGTCCAAACCCCACGGCGTTCCTCGTTAGGTTTCTTTTTTGTGGCTCAGAGAAAACCTGGAAAATAGTGCTCCGCTTTGCCAAATTCGCAGAGAGAGGTGGCAGCTCTTATCTGTTTTGCCAAATTCTCAGGGGGAGGTGGCAGCTCCTGACCTGTGTTTTGATATTTAAGGGAGAAGTGGTAGTTCCGTACCTGTTTTTTCCATTGAATTGGGTCGATCTTACCCAAAATTGCTATATACATTTTTAGAAACTAGGATCCTCATATCCTCGTTTTGTGTGGTATTATCTGGTGAGTTTATGTGGTCTTTCTGTCTCCTTTTGTTTTAAGAGCTTGCTTCTGGTCTAGAGCATTGTGTCTAAGTTTGTCTTGTATTAGATCAGTGGCTATGGCTAAGAATTGCTGTTTTTTGTAAGGCTAGTCATAGAACCTCAGTTCCTTCTTCATCCAGAAAGAAACAGCGTCTTGTGTCTGTCTTGTGATTTAGATTTTTAATAGCTACTTGGAGAAACTTTGATATAAATTGGTCTATTTGAAAAGTGCACTAAGATCTTTATGTTTTATACTATGTCAATCTTAAAAGTGAAACCTGTTTAGTATCTTAAGCTAGATATTATTTGAAATGTGTTTTATTTAAGGAAAAAGGATAGTTTTGTCTTAAAGTAAAAGTAGCAGTTCCAGAACAGTAAAAAAGAAAGAAATTAGCTATCTTTTGTCTTTGAAAATGCCTCCATCAATTTAAACATATGTAAATGTCTTCCATGAGTCAAGAGAGTGAGGGCAGGGCACTATCAGGCCTCCCCAGCTCCCAGTCTCCAAGGTCCTGTAGCTCCAGGGACGCTTTTGAAAGACCCCTTTCCAGCTAGGTGGAGACTCTTTTAAGACTAAAGATAAGAAAAATTGCTGCTTTGCTATAGTTATCAGAAACAGAGCAGAGACTGGGATTTCCAAAGCCAGTTGATAAAATCTTTAAGGGCTGAAATTAGATTGGGGAAAATATGAGAAGTAGTAAAAGTTGAAAGAAATCTTAGAATGTTTACTTTTCTTTCAACAACAGTTATGTTTTGTGGTATACAGGCTTAAAATAATTCCAAAGGTATTTTAGGTAGCTTATTGATGTTATTAAGTTAATAGATATTTGTCATAATTTAAGTTCATATACTTTGTCTTTTTATGCCACAGGAGGATATATAGATAGATATATTTAAGTCTGTGAATAAGTGTTCATTTTTGCCATTTAAAGGGATGCACTATAAGAGATGTACAACAAAGGCAACCTTTAAGAGGTTTATTGAAAAAAATTTATTTGATATGGTCAAGTTTCATCTGTCTGACTAAAGTTTAATCGTTTAATTTATGAGATTTTGAGGAGTTTTAATGTTAAGTAGCATATAAAACAAAGACTTGGGTTTCTCACAGTTAAAATAACAAAGTGCTCTTTAATTTCTGAGTTAAGGGGTTAATTTATTCTTTGTGTAATCTGCCTGGAATACAAAGGTTTGGCCTCTCATTAGAATAAGATTCCTGAGTCTGAATACTAAGCCGCACGGTTTTTACAAAAGAAAGCTAAGATTTTTACTTTAAGATCTTTGGTTAAATAACTTAAGGATTGTTTCACAGTGACCTATATTATTATCTCTTTATTGCTAACTTGGTCGCAACTTTATCTTTTTGAATCTAGCATTATCAAAGCCAATGGTTTGATTGGGGAATTTACATCATTTTTCTATGAATTTTTTTATTACAATTCAGGTATTTAGAGATTTGATAATCTTGGTATATTCTTAATATATCCTGACTATATGGTATTTTGTCTCAAAATTATTCTGCATTATATCTGAAGCTCTTTGAATATGGTTAATGGCTATATTTAGAAATATTTTTATCTAAAGTTTTTTTAACTGATTTTATTTGGCCTTTACATTATGCTTATAATTAATTTCTATCAGGTCTTTCACTATTAGGAATATTATGTTTATCAATTAATCATGGCCATATTGTTTTGTCAACTGCAGATAAGTTTTTACTTTGCTGATATGCTGAAAAAGTTTGACCCAAATATCTCAACAAAAAGATGGACTATATTGGACTTGCTAAAAAGACTGTGACTAGACTGAATAAAATTTCCAGAGCTCCTATGCAGAAGCTGATGAGTTTGCAGACCGCGGCTGATCCAGAATCACGTGGAACAGAAATTAACTACATAAGACTGAGTAAACTACAGGAAACTATGGTTTTTTTAATATTGCTGATGTTTTAAGGTCCTAATTTCTG